TTTCTTTTGTTAACTTGTTGCTTTTCGGTAGTAGATCTTTGAGTTCGTGTGACATTATACATAAATCACGCGTTAAGTCTACATCCTTCAGTGTCTTTTCCTCAGCCGAACATGTGCCCATATTATCGTTCCCCACTGCCCATTTCCTGATCCAGTTCACTACAAGGAGGCATATCATTGATTATAGTAAGCAACCTTGTCTTACTTCTATCTTTACTTTAAAAGCATCGCTGAGTTTTCTGCTGTGAAACACTTGCCTTGTAGATTCTTCGCATAGCTGTTAAATCAGGTTGATAAAGATTTTGGAGCAATCCGTAGTGTTGAAGGAATTTATGGATCATTTCGTGGTGAACACTGTCAAAGATCTTTCGAAATTCAATGAAGTTGAGGTATAAATTTGACTGTCATTCTGGGCTATGTTCAGTGATGATGCGCAGCTCTGCAATGTCGAAGACATTATAATGCATTACCAAGGGGACCTGTGTGAAAGAACACTGGGACTGTCTGAAAAGGATATTGAAAGAGAGCTGTATAGACCTTTTAGGAGAAGAAAAGCGATACAAGACATGGCTCTCTACGGACACCTAGAAGCTAGTAGAGGAGATGTAAATGGTGAAACGCCGGATTAATCAGTGAAAAAATGAACAATGAATTATTGTTATTATTATTATTGTATCCTTTAGTTCCTAGAGGAACATAGGGCTTCAGCTGCGCACCTCCATTGACTTCGGTTTTCTGACAACTTTTTCAACCTGCTCCAGGTCTGTCCACATGCTTTCATCTCCTCCTCGCATGACCTCCTCCAAGTCACCCTTGGACGACCAACTCGCCGCCTCCCTTTCGGGTTCCACTCGAGGGCTTGTCTAGTGATGTCACTTGATGGTTTCCTCAGCGTATGGCCAATCCATCTCCATTTCTTTCTGCCTATTTGTTTCACAATCGGTTCCTGATTGGTTCGCTCCCAGAGATCCCTGTTGCTGATCTTTTCTGGCCATCTGATCTTGAGTATTGAGCGGAGACAGCTGTTAATGAAGGTCTCAAGTTCGTTTGAGATGCTCTTTATGATGCGCCAAGTCTCTGATCCGTATAGTAGCACTGACTGACTTCATATTGGAGTTGAAAATCCGGATCTTATTTTTGAAGCTGAGCGTTGTTGACCTCCACACAGACTTAAGAGTAATGAAAGCTTGTCTTGCTTTTCCGATTCTGGCTTTGATATCCTCATCAGTTCCGCCTGTAGTTGAGACGATGCTTCCCAGGTAGGTGAAGGAGGTTGTTTCTTTCAGGTTCTTCCCATTTATGCTTATTGTGGTCTGTTGGTGTTGTTGATGTTGGCTAGGAATCTTCATCATCTCTGTTTTATCTCTGTTCACGTGAAGTCCTATCTTTGATGCTTCTTCTGCCAACTTGTTACTTTTCACTTGCATATCTTCCAGTTTATGGGAAATCAGACATATATCATCGGCGAAATCCAGATCCTCCAAGTCTTTTGTGTCAGTCCATTTTATGCCTGTTCCCTCGTTGGTTGCCGTTGTCTGTCGCATTATCCAATCAATTGCAGTCAGGAAGATCATTGGTGATAGTAGACAGCCTTGCCTCACTCCTGTCCTCACTTCGAAGGCTTCCGTAAGTTTCCCGTTGTGGATTACTTGGCATGCAGCATTGTCGTATAACTGTTGGATGAGGTGTATAATTGTCGATGGGACCCCGTAGTAGCGAAGTAGTTTCCAAATGACCTCTCGGTCGACGCTGTCGAAGGCCTTTTCAAAGTCGATGAAGTTGAGATAGAGAGGTGACTGCCATTCCAAGCTTTGTTCAATGATGATCCGTAGAGTGGCGATTTGATCAATACATGATTTGTTTCTCCTGAATCCAGCCTGTTCCGGACGAAGTTTTTCATCTAGGGCTTGTTTGATTCTCTCCAGGATGATGCGACTTAGTATCTTGCTTGGAATGGACAGAAGCATAATTCCACGCCAGTTTTTACATTGACTTAAGTCTCCTTTCTTTGGAAGTTTGAATAAGTATCCGTTCTTTCAATCCTCGGGTACTTTGCCCTCTTTCCACACCTTCTCCAGCAGTGGTGTCATCAAGTCCGCTGTTGTCTCTGGGTCTATTTTCAAAGCCTCTGCTGGGATTCCATCTGGTCCCGGCGTTTTCCCAGCTTTAAGCATCTTGATTGTATTCAGGACTTCTCATTTCGTCGGGGGGTCAGTGTTCACTGGTAGTTCTGCTTCCGTTGTTGGTATTGCTGGGCGTGTTGTAGGTGGCGGACGATTTAGAAGTCTTTTGAAGTGTTCAACCCAGTGCTTTCTCTGTTCCACCTCTTTGGTGATTGACTTTCCGAACAATGAATTAATCATAGTTTTTAATTTACAAAACATCCGTTACGTCCAACAAACAGTAATGAACATTTTGTAAATTTAACACTGTAAATGAATTCGTTATCTAAATAGATTTAATGTCTCAGTAGTTCTGTTGGATTAGTTTCCCATTAGAATGAATTTTAAAGCCATACGTAAATTGCTATCATGTTCCTTATTGAACTCCCTTATATGATTAGGACTCTGAGATATGTAGTGAATACATTTCTAGTTTGGACAATCCATTAAGGCCCAAACAATAGCAGTACTCACTGCTACTAAAAATTCACTAAACTTTGTTTTACACGTGTAGGCCATTTCTTACAGTAAATTTATCGTAGTATTATAAAATATTTCTGCAGCTTCTTTCTTGGAACTGTATTTAAAAAAAATTTAAAACTGAGTTTCAATATAAGTAGTTACTGATTTTGATGATTTTTAACAATTTAGCTTACATAGGTACTACTAGTAACTCTTTGTATTTATTTGTTTACGAAAATTGTAATACTATTTGGAATTTGGATTATGCAAAAATAAACAGTGAAAGTAAAGCTGAGAATCTTTTCTTCACAGCTGCATCAAGGCGAACTAATGGAATCTGAAATGCATATGTATATCTTTTTATGGGCTGGTATACAAAGAGATGTCTAACAACATACTGCAGCAATTTTTAATAATAAACACTTGATAGGTAAATATGTCATACAGAGTATGACTAGGATCAAGATATTTCAGTGGTATATTCAAGGATAGCCTTCTCGGCAGACAGTAAGATTTCGACACAATTTTTCGCCAAAGATGGGTCAAGTAATATTTACTAGCTTTAAAAAAATAGAATAAAACAATTTAAGTTAATACCTTAGTCGGGGTTTGTTTAGATTTACAGGGAAATCGTAAATGATATACGTTTCATTTACTGCAATAGTTACAATCCACATTGTTTTCAGCACTAATTGCCGATATATATTTTTTAAGAAAATACAATTATTAAAGTATTTACTTATAGACTAAGAAGATGCCTGTGATCAGTAGAGGGAATCAGATTCATCGCTGATATACGTGGAGCTTTTTAAAACAAGTGACAATGTACTTGAGAAAGTTTTCATCGTAAAAAGATGGTCTGATTAACGAACAAATGTTACAGTGAAAAAGAAATCCAACTGCAAACTGGGCTCAGAAGAGGAGCAGAAAGTAAGATTGTTGAGAAAGAAGCATAAAAACTGTTTCTGTACAAACAACTTGAAATGAATCTGTGCCGATCACCAAAGAGTTGGCAGATATCTTATGACGTTTATTTAGAAAGAGAAGTCCAACTGTTTTCTGAACTCAGGTATTTATGACACTGAAAATCTCTAGAGTAACTCAGGAAAATGTGAGTGGAAATCATTCAACGTGTAAATGTATACTAGTTTAAAAAACGGAGTTGAGAGATTTAGGTATTTTTAACAAGAAGTCCACTTTTTTACACAAAAGCCTTTTCAACTCAGTTAAGTGATGCATTACTTCTAACTAAGATTTTAATGAGAACACTAACTCTTTTAGTTTTTATGAGGATGAACAAGAGTAGACGTTTTATAAAATGAAAGTTGTAGGTGCTGATAAACAGTGACTTCTTGTTTAATGAATTTACTTTACAAAGCGTTACAAATTTTTATTTCTCAGTAGCGAAGATGCAAAGTAATTTCAAGTAAGAACGGGAAGAATTAGTAAAAGTCTTTCAACTTTATTATCATTGATCTCATTATGCAAATGGGGAATCAATAAAGACCATATGAGTGTAAATACTTTAGGAATTCATTTTGTTACATTACTTTAAAGAATTTAAATTTTAAACGTTATTGTATGGTATTTCAGTCTTAAGTAGATGCAAATCTTGAAAGATGTCCTCAGAAAACCATTAGATCACTTTCTTTGAACTGAGTTACCTTATCTTACCATACATATTCATGCGTGTATACGAAGGAACAAATTTTTTATCATTGTTCTAATTTCGTACCACTGAAATTTTCGACGCTGAAGAAGTGATTATCAGTAAATCTGTTTTCCCTGCTAGAGTAACATCAATAAAAGTAGGCAGTTTTCGTTTCTAAACTCCATCTAAATATAAACAAGATAATTGACAAGAAGCATCAACAAGTCAAAACTACAAAAGACAACATTCCCAAAATACAGTCGACATTGTTGATGTTATTATTATTTTAGATTACTGAAACAATAAACATATCGACTGACAAGTTGCAGACATTCAATTTATCTGTAGTTCTTTTGGAAATAACTGATGTAAGTGGGTGGAAATTGTAAAGAATTCCAACATCACATTATTTTGCTCTTCAAAATCCTAAAGTAGAATAATGAACAATAATTTAAATTTAGTATAATAATTAAGTTTAATAAATCTATATCAAAACTGTTATTTAATTAGAGTTAAGTCATGGAATCATCCCTGTAAGAGAGGTATATATTTGCAGGGAAACGGTACAGCCGGAAGTCACCAATTTTCGGGGCATATATATATATATATATATATATATACATATAATAATAATAATTAAATGTGAAACAGGCCATAGTATTTATAAAATTTTCCATTAAATGTGATTCTGTACTCTGAATACTACAGTTTCAATACAATTTACAATGAGAAAGGATGATTTCCAAACAACTCTCTTGTTTTATTCCGTGTTATTTTCTACTTTTATTTTGGTTTCAACTCAAAATGAAGAAAACAGTACTGCTAACGGATACTTAAATGTAAGTGACAAAATTCTGAATTTTCATTGTTTGAAATAGTTTTAAACACTATTGGGAAGCAGACTGAAAGCTAAAATCTTAGTAGACTGTGAGAATTTGTTTTTCGTTTGTTAAATGATCATAATAAAATAATTTTACCATACAGATTAGCGTAGTATTACTTATTTTGAAGGAATAAATAATTAAGCGTATAGGCTACTGTTTAAAAAAAAAACATTCGCATGTTCACAGATATTTCGACTTCAGACCGCCTAACTGATCTGGTTAAGGCTACGGAGCAGTTTCAGTAACGCAATGACATTTCTAGACAGTAAATCTGAAAGTAAATAAAGCAGGTAAAATAAGTCACAATCAATAAACGCTTATCCCTCAGAATTCTTTCCGTAAATTATAAGAATCTTTTAGAAAATAAAAATTGGTAATTTGGGTAGTGACTGAAAGAAGAAAAGGGGATTTCGGTGGAACAGTGGTAGAATGCTCGCCGACCATGCATGTGATCTGAGGTTCGATCCCCTGTCGACGCACACCTGATATCTATGATCGACCTGCAAAACTTGGGCTACCGATATCCATGCTGAAAATTCCATACATGTATTAAAAATACAGTGTGGAATAAAGCTGAAATCAAAAAGAAAAAGAAAAGGAATTTCAGTCTTACGAAATCCTACATAGAATTCTTAATAGATTCAAAATCCAGGTGACATTTAAACCCACTACGAGTAAATTGAGGCTGAAATTTTATAGAATCGAAGATTCTCTTTTTATAGTCAGATAAGTAACCTTGTCTAACAAATACCTTACTACTAACGTGATATCAAGTTCAAAGTACAATGTAGACAATATGGGTAACTTAATTTTTCAGAGTTTAGTAACTTAGCTAAATGTAGAATGACAACTCCAGAAAAATAGCTAACTCAGAAAAACGCCCAGTTGTTGTAGTGCATGCATTAAAAAGTAATCACAATGTGAGACTAGCGGAGCTACATGCCTAAAGGCTAATCTAGTTGAGGTTAAGCCGAAATTGGCCACTGAATCTTTGCTCATCATATCAGCATCTCATATGTGCAATGAGAATGATACAATACTAATGCGTCGGTGGAACAGTGGTTAGGACTCTCGCCGACCATGCACATGGTCCGAGGTTCGATCCCCTGCTGACCCACACCTGATATCTATGGTCAGCCTGCAAAATTTGAGTTACTGATATCACATACTGAAAATTCCATACCTGTACCAAAAATATGGTGTGGAATCAAGCTGTAATCAAAAAAAAATAATAATAAAAAATGTAGAGGATATTATTACTAATTAAATAAATTATATCATAAGAGACAATCGAAGTATATAAACAAAGCTAGAAGACCTCCTATATTGGCATGGTTATGAGCGCGATAGATATTTCTGGAAACTTGCCAATAAACTAATTTTATTGTACTACTATATATCAAGCGAAATCGTTTTATCATGAAATTACATCCTACCACAGTGCTAAAGTCCTTCCCTTATATCGGTGAGGGAGTGCATTAACATGACTGGAAGCTTTCACTGTAATTGCATTTTCTCAGCTAAACATTAAAATTGAAATGTTACGAAATTACTTGAAGCCTAACAATAACGACAGCGTTACCACTTTCAAAAATATTATTTCTGAAACGATATGACATTCTTTTCCATGGTGACCTAATTGTCTGAAAACAGAGTCGCTCTGGGTTCATCCTGACGAACAAAACTGCAACAACTTGTTCAAATTTTATTTGAAATTTCAAATAGATGGAATAGTAGGGGGAGTCACATGCCGTTCCAACGAGATCTAATAGTAATGTTGCCCTTTAAAGTTTTAAATTTTGTTTGACTACCATACATATGATCCTTTCAGGGCTATTTCATGATAAGACAAACTTGGTTTTAGGAAACTTCTCCATAGATCGAATGATGTTCGCTCAGCTTTAGTTTTTCGATTGGACTGTTGTTTTCCAGTCAGACTTTGTTGGATTTTGATCTTTGTTTTTTATCTATCTCCTCTAAGTTCTTATGGTTGAACATTGACGAACAGATTGTTTTTACCAGTTGACGTTTGCCTTTCCTAAATCTCACTTCCCTTGTTTTCTTTGTATGGCAAGTATCTGTCTTTGGATTGTAGAACTTGTAATTCTGTTGATCTATTTTAAAAAAATATACTCCCATTTTGTGCAATTTGGGCGTTTCGAATTTCATTGTACTTTTTATCTATAGTAGCCAAATTAAGAACTTTCTTGTTTCCTTCTAGAAATATTAACTATAAAATAAACAAACAGAAATTTATCGAATTAAAGGAACAAAGATGGTATAAGCTGGTAAACAAATGTCTAAGTTCAAATGATCAAAACAGTCCCTACTTTAATACTCAACCATACAGACTTATAAGAGGTGAACACAAGACAAAACAAAGATTAAAAGCCAACGAAATATGGTTTACAACAATAATCAAGTCAAAAAATTAAGAGTGAGCAAAAGTCATTCGGTGTAGAGGAAATTTCTCAAGCCTGCCCACCGTATGTAAGCTACGGTGAAGCAGTCCTGAGAATGATATCTTTACTGAAAGTGAGTGGTTTATCCCAAGAACTCAAAAGTTGAAGATAGACAAATATGAAGCATGACAAAGAAGCGAGCAGCTAGTGTTCACTTCACTGTCAAGATAAAAATTTATAAAATACAAAAACAGATAAGCAAAGGAATATTAAAGGTGTTTTTGAGTAGAACAATGATTGACTCACCATGTTATTACTGGCTATTAGATTGAAATGATTGCATTTTGAAATTATGTAAGTAAACTTTAACGAGCTTTAGGTGCCTATTTAGTATGTGGCCTTCAGGAGAGATTTTATCTATAAGTAGTTTACTTAAGATATATAGCAGTGTTCATCTTGGATGTTATTCAGTCGTGAAAATCTGGTTAGTAGACAGAAGACAAGTAGTTCAGCGAAGAGTCTCTTTTCGGCGAATTCATTTTCATAGCTGTACAATCGCAAATATATATGGTTATTTTGTGTGTGTGTGTGTATACATTAAATTTGTCAAACGAAAATACAATTAGTGAGTTCAGATGAATTGGATGTTGATAAGAGGATAGCAACAAAAGTGATGAGTTGTCATAAATGATTGTTAAATAAGAGTTACGTAATGGCATGAATAGTTTGATGAATGAGTTGTGCTCAAAGGGTGTACATGGAAACAAAATAATATACAGAATTACACAAGGGTTTTAAGTTAGAAAAATAAGCATACAAACAGAAGTAAGGTCAAATCAAACAAACAAAGAAAAGTTAGGTCAAATCAAAGGAGTAGTTACCATGCGAGTAGAAGTGGTTGGATAATTTTCTTTTGTATGCATAGTTCTGGTTCCTCCAACTGGATGGCTAGGGCTTCTGCGATGCAAAGAAGACGGAATCGTACTGTCTTTGGAAGGTTGTTCTTCACTTTGTAGATTACTTTGAAGGAGGCGTTCGTTGAGATGGAATGACCAGTATTGACGAGATGTTCGATTATTGCACTCCTTATATGGCCATTATTTCCTTTCTGTAGCCACGCTGGATAGTGTTCTTTTACCCTTTTAGACAGGATGCGCGTTGAACGACCGATGTACCTGGCTCCACAGCAACAGGTGAACTGATATATACACATAGAAGTGGTCATGTGCGGAATCTTGTCCTTTGGGTTTCTGCAGATCAGCGGGCGACTGGAGAACACTATTCTTAGTGTTGCCGCAGGGAAAGTTCTTCCTAAAGAGGTGGAAATTCTCCTTCTGAGGACGTCACTAAATAGGTCTCCTTTGAAGTCTAGGTTCATATAAAGTATCTTTTTCGGCACGGATAGTGTCTCTTGCTTTTGGTTTTTCTGTTTGATGTTTTTCTCTACAAATCTTGGTGGGTAGCCATTTTGTATGAAGATTTCTTTCAGGAAGTTTAGTTCTTCTTCCATGGTGTCGGAGCTGCAGATGCGTCTGACGCGAGTGGCAAGGGATTTAATTAGGTTTCTTTTCCGACTGATTGGTACCCAGCTGTAGAAACTTGTTAATTGTCCGTTCCAAGTCGGTTTCCTATGGATTGACCTTCTTAAAGTTCCGTCATCTCTCCTTGTAAGCTCAACATCAAGAAAAGGGATTTTAGATTCATTTTCAGTTTCCAAAGTGAACTTTGTGGCTGGATGGCATTTGTTGAATGTTTGCAGTAGTTGATTGAGATCGTGACCTTCATCACAGATGATAAAGATGTCGTCAACATATCTAACGTACAACTGGAAATTGTCGATGGTTGATTTGAGTGGGCCATTCTCGAGGCTTGCCATGAAGCAGTCTGATAGTGAAAGCGAAAATTACCTTTTTCAATGATTGTATCACCAATCGCGAATATCCAAAGTGGTTTTGGAAAGCATTGAGAAGAAGCCACATATACCCCAACACAAAATCCCTCCGACGACATGCATTGAATCTTATTGACTCTATTAAAGCCCGTATTCCAGAACTTCAACGCAACATTTCACAAAGGTCTCCAGCCCTCCACGATCTGCTACCTAGTGAAACCCAGAGGTTTACGGAATATGTCAATACAGTCACTGAAAAACGAGCACAATCTACTATTTCCCGACTCACCAAAAGCCTCAAATCCATCAAAGCACAGAAACAATTTCCTGAAGACCCTTCGAAATTCGTATTCAACTACTCTTCAGTAGCTTTATCCAACCTACAGTTAGAAGCCCTATCCATGGGCCCAAAATTCTGCGACGTCAACTTAAACGCCAACAGACTCCATACGCAAGTACAATTCGAAAACCTAATGACCCAAACAAATGATTTAACCCCAACCTCCGAACAAGAATTGCAGCGTTTCAAATCAACAATAATCGATAGCTGTTATCAGTATCTTAATACAAAACCAAAAGTATACAACCACCTGACAAGGCAACATAGAGAAGAATTAAATCAACTAAAACAAAATGAAGAACTCCTTATAACTCGTCCAGAC